AAGATTAATACAAATCAAATTGCTTGCTGATCTACATGTGGTGGATAAACATTTTTAAAAAAATCAGTTGATCAAAGAGCTGCATTTAAAAGTTATAGGTCTCCAAAATGAGTCGGATCAGGATTTTTGTAAAATTGATCTGTGGTGCAAAGCATCTGTTACCTAAGTTAGCACTTTTTTTTTTTCATAAAATTTTTTATACGCATCAATTAAAGAGTGTTAATTAATAAAAGCCAAAAAAATTAATGGGTGCTTATTTATAACCCCCAAAAGGTAGTCTCTAAAAGTCAGGTAAATTTTCCATAAAAAATTATCATTTTTTAAAAGTTAAGTTATTGTTTCATTTAATTCTATATTACTAGTATGTCAATCTAAAAAGTACTAATAAAACCAAATAAATTGTTGTATTTTAGAACTTATTAATAATAAGTAATATACCTGAGCTTTCTACTTGCTGTATTGGTAAAGCATTAAATGAACAGTGCTATCTTATTAAGTTTAACAAGTCTAAAAAAAGTAAATGCTACCAAGAACTGTCTACACTAAACCAAGAGCTTATTTTTTTGAGAAGCAAAATAAATCCCATAGATTTTATTTGTAGCTATCTCGAGAAAGTTTACTTGTCGAGGTATGAGAATGAACATCACAGGTATTGTTGTAATCCGTTGAACAAGCACGCAAAAAAAGTGAAAGGTTTCAATATTTAAACTAATATCTTAATTTAATACAAATATCTTAATAACACTAAATAAATAAAAAAACAATATTTAATAATTATTACTGTTACTTTAGATTCTCTTAGAGTTATCAGTCTTTCATATGCCAAAGATTTTGGTTTAATACCTGGTCAAAAAATTTTCACTAGTTGCAAAAAGGTTCTGAATTGCAAACATAGTACAAAAGAAAATGAACTCCAAGAAAAAGAAATTTATGTTGACAACCATACATTAAAAGAAGATCTTAATTCAAGTATTTCAAGTTTTGGATGCTCACCTCTCAAACTTGTTTCAAAAAAAGATAGAGTTGCATATGGAAAGCGTAAAATTAATAGCGTAAGAGCTCATACACAAAAGGCTGTTGCCAATGTGCTAGGTTTAGAAATAGCTGCACTTGGTGGAATTGATTCACCCTCAAAAAAATGTTTGAAAAAAACAAACACAGATTTAGACAATATTGTGACTTAAGTTAAAATTTGAAAAAACATTGTCAAATTCTGAAAAAATCACCCCTTCTTCTCACTCACTCCAGACAGTTGGTCTATAGAGAAAACTCAGAAGTATTTTTTGACTTGAAAAAGATCTGTAGTACAATCCAGAATATTAAGAAAAAAAAGTGGAATACTATCAAGACCTTCTCCAAAACCGGGTAGAAAACTAAGCAAAGATGTAATTACAGAGGTTGTTCATTTCTATGAATGCGATGAATATTCAAGGGTTTGTCCTGGAAAGAAAGAGTTTGTTTAAGTTAAAGTAGATAGTATAAAGCAACACATCCAAAAGCGACTTTCACTAGTCAATATGAAAGAGCTACATATTGAGTTTAAAAAGAAATATAATTATCTTAAAGTTGGATTTTCAAAATTTTGTGAGCTAAGGCCCAAGTGGTGCATTCCTGTGGGCGGTGCTTCTGGTCTGCATGTATTTTGTGTTTGCCAGTACCATTAAAATGTAAACCTCCTCATACAGAAAATTCCTGGAATTGCTGATTACAAAATCTTATTGAAATTAATAGTTTGTAGCATTGAAAATAGAGATTGTATGCTGCATAGCTGCGATAAATGTCCTGCTAAAGAGGTTTTGTTAGATTACATTGACATTTTGTTTACAGAAAATGAAATTAGTGAAGTTAATTTTTATCAATGGCAAAAATCAAATTACCAATGTACTTTAGCACCAGCAACTTTACCTTTAGATGAATTTATTGAAATGGTTTATGAAAAGTTACATAGTTTATGAGAGCATCATTTTATATCAAAAAGTCAAGCCACCTACTACCAACATTTGAAAACTAATTTAAAAGAAAATCAAGCTTTAGTTATTCTTGACTTTGCAGAAAACTATAGTTTTCTAATACAGGATGCAGTGCAAGGTTTTCAGTGGAATAACAGCCAGGCAACTGTGCACCCCTTTTGTTGCGTATTTTATAAAAGATGGAAAACTTCATAGTCAAAGTTATTTTGTTATATCAGATCATTTGAAACATGGAACAGATGCTGTTTATTGCTTTATCAATAATGTTATTGATAAACTTAAACAATTACAAACATTTGAGCACATTATCTATTTTAATCTGTTTTAGTGATGGAGCTGCATCACAATATAAAAATTACAAAAATGTTATCAACTTATGCTACCATAAACACGATTTTGACATGACTGCAGAGTGGCACTTTTTTGCAACATCGCATGGTAAAAGCCCTTGTGATGGTGTTGGTGGAACAGTGAAACGTCTTGTTGCACGAGCCAGTCTACAGTCACTTAACGATCCTATTGACACACCAAGCAAAATGTACAGCTGGTGTTCAACGCGTCAAAGGAATATCTTTTTTTTTTGTTGACAAAGTTTCAATAGAAACACATATTACAAACTTCAATTTGGAAGAGAGATGTCGTTCTTGTTCTACAATACGTGGGACACAAAACCACCACAGTTTTATCCCAACGTCACTTACCTCAATACAAATAAGAAGAGTTTCATTTGATAGTATTTGCACCAATGTGGATTTTTCTACTTGCAGAATTTTTATTAATAAAATTTCAAGTTACTCACCAGGAGAATATGTGGCCTGCGTTTACAATGCTCAATGGTATTTATGGAATATTCTTAGTATTTCAGAAGAGCATCAAGATCTTAATATGAAATTCATGAAAAAGTTTTTATGTAACAAGTTCACATAGCCATGCTGAGATGATCTTTGTCGGGTGCCTCTGATGCATATTTTATGCAAAGTACAATCTCTTAAGGTCCAGACAAACAGTGGAAGATTTTATAGTATTGACTTAAAAGAAATCAATGAGATTATTTTATTATTTGAGAAATTTAACTTTTTGTAAATTTTATTAGTTTTGTTTATTTTCTTAAAAACATTTTGTTTGTTTTTTCATTAAAAAAAATTTATATTATAAAGCAGTGAGGGGACAGAGGGGGAGGGGACTTTATCTATTGTGACTTAAAAGGACTTTATCTATTGGGATTATAAGGCTATAAGCATTGATATTTTTTAATTGATATTTTATAATAAATAACATTATATAATTCAATGCATTTATTTATTATGTTAACTTCAGAATTTTATGAAAAATTTACATGACTTTTAGAGACTACCTTTTGGGGGTTATAAATAAGCACCCATTAATTTTTTTGATTTTTATTAATAACACTCTTTAATTGATGCGTATAAAAAATTTTATGAAAAAAAAAGTGCCATCTTAGGTAACAGCTGCTTTGCATCACAGATCAATTTTACGAAAATCTCATTTTTGACTCATTTTTGAGACCTATAACTTTTAAATGCAGCTCTTTGATCAACTGATTTTTTTTAAAATGTTTATTCACCACATGTAGATCAGCAAGCAATTTGATTTGTATTAATCTTTTAACTTGTTTTTAAGATTAAGATCATTAAAACTACAAAAAAAATTATTTTAAAAACAAAAATCTCAACTTAAGCCCCCCATTATGGAAAAAGTTAACATGCCAGAATTAAAAAATTTTTCTTTATATATATATATATATATATATATATATATATATATATATATATATATATATATATATATATATATATATAAATCCCTAATATATATATATATATATATATATATATATATATATATATATATATATATATATAATACACAGGTCAGAAATTTAAGGTTTAAGTTTACTATCCGAGTACCCCAAAAATGTTAACAAATATAGTAAGTGGGGCATCTGGACACTTCATTTTCATATTTAGAAAAATCTGGGAGGTATCACATTTTTAGAAAATTGACATTTAAAATCTGATAAAAAGTCATTATTTTCGTAAAAGAAAGTTGAAGTTTATTTACAAAAAGTTCATATACCAACTTTTAAAGGTATTTAATTTAATATTTATACATAAACATTATTAGAATACACAAAGTTGGTCAAAAAAACATTTTTTATTAAAAATGTTTCTTTTTGACTATGCATTTTTATTTTAATTTTATTATAGATACCTAATATATTGAATCTATGGCTCCTCTGCTCCCTAAGGAGAAGAGAGAATACCATTTTAAAAGAAATCATGTACTTTTTCAAAAAATCATTTGCTGTTGCTGCCTTGAAAAGAACAACAAATGCATTCCAGTTAATAAAAATTTGGAAGGCCTGGTTCAAGTTTTCTGTAAGCCTGAGTTTTCACTTAAAGTATTTGCCTACCCTACAGGATTATGCCCAGGTTGCAAGAAAAACCTATATCTCTGTAAGGCTGGTAAAACTATTGCAGACACAGTTACTTTAAAATGGAAAAATTCTGATTTGTCTAGCTTGCAAACCTCTAGAGATTGCTCAATATTATGCAGTATATGCAGTCAAGGAAGAAATAGGTTATTAAATAAAAGTATGAAAAAGGGAACTAGCTCAACACTGAAATTTTGCCAAATATGTTTCTGTGAAATTGCTAAAGGTAAACCCCACAAATGTTCCCCTTTAAAGAGTAGCACAAATCTTTCTGAGAGTATTTCTAAAATTTCTAAAAAAGTAAAAGAACAAGTAGCTTCTTCCCTTCTAAAAGAAATTTATTCTGATCAAGAACAAAGTCTAGGAGCTCAAGCCATTCTAAGAACAGGTAAAATATTGTTAAATAAAAATAGCTGTTATGTACTTTTTTAAAATAACAGTTTATATTATATTAAGGAGGTAAAAGTATTCATATTACACTCGGTACTTGGGAAAGTGACCATAGAAAGATTCCTTATAATGAAGTAGAAGTTTTAGTAAATACCTTAGGACTTAGTCAATTGAAGTCATATGAAATGTTAAAAACATTGAGGAGAAGCGGCGTAAAGTTTGAGTCAAACATGGAGAAAGCCCTGGATGAAAAAAGTAAACTACTTTCCAACTTTTATGTCACTGAATTATTAGACTTTCAAGAAAAGGAAAAAGATAATGACTATGCTACAGTGAAGAGACACTTGGTATATATTGAAGATATTACAACATTTCTGGATTTTGTAATGAAATATCGAGGGCATGTTCTACAAAACACATTTGTAAAGGTTGGAATAGATTCAGGTATTTATATTTAATTTATTTAATTTATATTACTTATTATATTTTAATAATTGTTTTTTTAAAAACTTGTTTTTAAAAATATTATTTGTACATATTTATATACAAATATGTATGTGTGTAAGCATATATATATTTATAGGTGGAGGATCACTGAAAGTTATAGTAAAACTGTTTGATCCAACCAAGGACAGGACAGAAGATAGCAGCTCCTTAGGATCATACTCAGGAGCAAATACGTCACTTGTTTTAGCTTATTGTGAAAGGGTAAGTGAGAATCATTCTAACATGACAATGATTGTGGAAAAATTAAAATTGCATGAATGCAAGTACTCATTGGCTTCTGACATGAAGTTAATCAACATATTGCTAGGAATTTCGGTGTGTTTATTTTAAATAATTTTAAGATAATAAGGCATATTATGGTAAAAACTATATTAGGAAAAGGTTTTTTTTACCCTACAATATATTTATAAATTGAATTATAATATAAAATTTTAGGCTCATGGAGGAAAGTATGCTTGTGCATGGTGTGAAGGTTCTTCAGAATTATTTTCTGGAGAGTTAAGAACATTTCAATCTTTGAATAATTACTATGAACTGTATTCATCTGCAGGATCTCCGGTGAAAAGAATGAAAGAATATAAGGTATAAATGAATAAATATATTGTAAATATTTTCAAAATTTATCATCCATTATAATTTTATCATTTTAAAAAGAATAAAAAAAATTTATTTCCATATATTTAGAATGTCATTAATCCTTGTCTGCTTAAGATAGAAGACAAATCTCTAAGTATAATAAGAGAGATTCCATTACCAGAACTTCACCTTCTGATGGGATTTGTTAACCATGTGGCAGAATTTATAATGCAACTTTGGCCTGGATTTATAGATTGGGTCAAGAGCATTGGATGCCTTCGAAAAGGTTTCCATGGAGGAACATTTGAAGGAAACACGTGTAGAGAGATACTTAAAAGTTGCGACAAACTTGAGTTGATAATTCCTGTTGAACTGTATCCTCTTTTAGAAACAATGAGAAAATTTAATAAGGTTGTTCATGGTGTCTTTAGCTATAAACTTGACCCAAACTATTCAATTTTAATTGAAAGTTTTACACAAAGCTATAAGGATGCACAAGACTATTGCAGAGAGGTAATAGCTGTTTTCTTTACCCTTTGTATTTAAAACCAAGTTATTGATAAACATATTTATAGTAAGCTTTTTTAGTTTTTAGGTAAACAGCTCACGGTTACTTGGAAAGTACATGCTGTAACAGCACATCTGGAAACATTTGTTGATTTGAGTGGCCTTTCCCTTGGGCAGTTTAATGAGCAGACATCTGAATCTTGCCATTACAAGATGAAAAGTGTAATAAACAGGTTTGGAGTCTCGCAGTACAGCAACAAACATAAAGAAAGAAGCAAAAGAATTGCTGAAGTGTTCAGTTCAAATAATTTATAAGTTATTGAACATTAATTGTACATCAAAACATAAACATTATTGAAATCTTAAAGTTAAAAAAATTTGTAAATTTATTCAAAAAGACACTAAAAATACATTAGTATAAACAGTTTTTGAAATATTTTATTTAGTATTTATTATATTATTATTATTTATATATATTAGGTTATTAGGCAACTATGCATACAATACTAATATTTTACTAAATTACTTATATACTATCAATATGTTCTACTTTACTAAGCATACTATGTTCCTAATATAATTCAAGCATATCTAAACCTTTTTCACCAACTTAGATATATCTAAAAGCTGTCTAATGAAGTTGATGTGTAAATACAAAATTTAAGAGCATAAAAACTTGGAATATAAAGTTATTTTATGTTAATTTTACTGTTCCGTCAATATATTTAGTTTTTTTAAGTACAAAAATAATGACTTTTTAGCAGATTTTCCATGTCAATTTTCTAAAAATGTGATACCTCACAGATTTTTCTAAATATGAAAATGAAGTGTTCAGATGCCCCACTTACTATATTTGTTAACATTTTTGGGGTACTCGGATAGTAAATTTCTATTAAATTTCTGACCTGTGAATAGAGATATATAGGTTTACTGGTAAATGCCTAAAATTGGTTCACGTTTTTTTCTGGTAAATTTTTGGAATTTTCCAGTAAATCAAGCTTTTTGCTATCTAAGGATTGTTTTAATTCCTAATTGCTGATTATTTTTATCTAATAAAGAACGTACTATAAATATTAAATAAATTATTTATAGATTAAACATTTTTTACCATTAAAGAAAATTATTATTTTTAATTTCGTTTAAAAAATTGTTTTAAAGACCTTTTAATGGATAAAAGTTCAATTTGGAATTACTATAATTGTACAGAAATGAGAGATATTTAAATTATGTAAACAATGTGAAAAGAATTAAAACAGCAGGTGGAAGTACTAGTGGTTTACATGCCCATCAATATACATCAAAACCAAATATACATCAAAAGAGTCAACATAAAATTAATGTGTTAAAAATAAATATAGAAGAACGCACAAAAGAACCAGCAGTTGCAATAGCATTAAAAATTACTTCTTTTATCAAAAAAAGAGACGAATCTCTTGAAGCTGTACTTTCAAGAATGATTGCACCAGATGGCATTCCTTTCAACAAATTTTTCACATCTGAAGATTTAAAGGTGTTGTTAAAAACAAAAGGATATATAGAGTTACCAAAATCGCCCGAAACCATTCACAAAAAAGTAATGGATTATGCCGGTAAAATAATGAAAGAAGTTGTAAAGGAAATTTCACAGAATAAGCTCAATAAAAAAAGCTTATAGCCTTACCACAGATGAATGGACATCAAATAAAAACCACCGGTATATAAATATTATTATTCATAGAAATGACAGTAATTTTTGAAATCTTGGATTGACCTCGGATTCACGGATCCGTACCTGTTGAGGTATGTGCAGAAATAATTTTAAAAAATTTAAAGAGTTTAAGCTTTGTCAAATATTGTGTGCATCAGATGGAGCTGCCGTTAACAAGAGAATGGTAAAGTTACTTAATAAAAACCATCAGTTATGTATCATACATGAAAATATTGGTAATCATAAAAGTACTTTATAATATTAGTTCTAAAATTGGTAATCATAAACGTACTTTATAATATTAGTTCAACAGATGTACAAGATATTAATGAACATGATGGTAATGTATTACTTAATGTTGATTCGGATTCTGATTATTCAGAAATTGAACTTGAAAATTTTGAAGTAGACTACGAAGATAACTACCCAAATTGTTCTACAAAATGCAGAGCTAAATTCTTTATATACAAAAATTCAGAAAGTTGTAAAACTTTTCAGAAAATTGCCAACCAAAAATGATAAACTACTGCAAAAATACGTTAATGAAACGGTCACAAAAGAACTTTCTTTATTTTTAGACTGTAAAACTAGATGCAGTAGTTTATTAAGTATGCTGGAAAGATTTTTAAAACTTAAAGATACTGTTCGAAAAAGTCTGATTTAAAAATTGACATTAATTTTAATGAAATTGAAGTAAAATTACTTTTAAATATAATATCAAGCTATTAGTTTGGCCGTTGAAATACTCTTCACTGAAAAGATGTGTTGCTGATTTTACATTAAAATTTATGTTAGACTAGTTAAGTAACCAACACTTTTTTAAGTATTGCACTAAAAAAATGAATTGACAAGTTGTATTAAAGAAAGAAGAATGATGTTTTCAGACGTGTTACACTATATAACAGACCCTAATGTTATTATTTCTATTAAAGACAATTATGGCATTTTTAATTTCAGCAGTAAAGCTGTAATTATTAAAACTAAATACTGATTTTTCTATAAAGGAAAAATTTTCTATAAAGGGAAGAAAGTAACACAAAAGGTTTAAAAGAAGTTATAAAAAAAATGGAGTACTTTCAACAAAAAAATATACAAGGAAGTACATTCAAATAGTTTTTGACTTTTTGATGACCATTTGTCTAACAAGTGTTTGAGTTGAACCTGAAAGAATACTTTCAGAAACTGGACTAATTTGTACTAAAATTAGATCTCGACTAGGAGACAAGACATTAGATAGTTTAAGCTTTCTACAAAGCTACTTTTTGAAGAATGATATTTAATAAAAATGGTATTTTAAAAGTTGTATTGTTTTTTTGATATATAAAGTTTATCGGTAATTTGCCGGTTTACCGGTATTACAATTTTCATTTACTGAAGTAGTAGAAAATCACCTAGCAAGCAAAGTAGTAGAAAATCACTTAGCAAAAAATTTTTTCATTTAACATTGTGTTTCATCAATAAAGGCTCATCAGAAATGAATAATCAAGTTAATAAAACTTCAATTTATACCAAAAAATTTAACTTTAATTTAGACCTTCCTATATTTATGAAGGGTAATGTACTCAATGAGTCATCTACCCTTCATCTTCTAGGATTAATTCTTACTTCTGATCTTTCTTGGAAACCTTATATCAAATCCGTTGCGAAATTAGATCTGCTAAAGTTGCATCTCTTTATCGAGCTCAACATTTCTTACTCTGGATTCTATTCTCTATCTTTATAAATCTCAAATCCGGCCTTGTATGGAATACTAATACCATATCTGGGGTGGATCTTCTAATAATGCCCTTTTCTCTTATAGACAAGATGCAAAAATGCATTGTAAACATAGTTGGACCTGCTCTTACAGCCAACCTTCAACATCTGTCACATTGTCGTAATGTTGCTTCTATTTCTCTTTTCTACCAATACTATAATGGGCACTGCTCTGAAGAGATAGCGTCTCTTGTGCCATCTACTAAAATTCATTCTTGTGTTACTCGTCATTCAATTAAGTCTCATCCTTTTTCTGTTACTGTTCCTAAGTGCTCCAAAAACTCTTTTTCATCTAGTTTTTTTCCTTAAACATCAGTTCTTTGGAATTTGCTTCCTTCATCTTGCTTTCCTGATTCATATAATTTGCAATCTTTTAAGTCATCTGTCAATCGTTATCTTGCTCTACAACCTTCATCTTTTCTCTTCCAGTAACTTCTAACACTAATTAGTGGTTGCTCGCAGCCTTGTTGGAAGCGAAGATGTTAAAAAAAAAAAAAAAACTCCCGAAAGTCGCAAATGTCATAACTACTGTAAATTTTCACACATTTGTGGAATATGCTGACACTATTATAAAAAGAATTCTTTATAATTGATTACTTCTCCTTTTTTTTTTTTAAGTATTTTTTAAAAGGTGGCATTTAATGTAATTATTATTTGAGCTCACTTATTTTTATAGTTTTTTAGGAGAAACTTATTTTCATGCCTCCATTTAGAAATTACCTCCAATTTTTTGTTTAATAAAAATTCTTAGTTTTCATGTGTAATAAATTCAAATTTTTCTTGTAAGCTTAGTATGCATTTTTTTGCAGGTGTTAATTTAAGGATGGACCAATTCATTATGAAATCATCAATATTTTTATCTTTTAATTCCCAAATATATTTTGAAAGCATTTGTCCAACTTTTTTCATTTTTCTTATTTTTTATTTTTTATTATATATATATATATATATATATATATATATATATATATATATATATATATATATATATATATATATATATATATATATATATATATATATACATATATATACACACACACACACTATTTCGGCAATAAGTCTTGTCCACACTACAGATTTTTGTGAACAATCAAGTGTAATGCATCATAATTATGTATACATGCATCAGAAAATGTACATATTGTAATTTTATTAAGGTACATGCATAATACAATTGAGACCCAAAGCTCGTCCAAATTGCCTGGCTTGGAACCCTGCACTTTACTGAAGAAAATTTCCCAGAGGTGCTCGATAGGCTTGAGGACAGGGCTCTAGGGTGGCCACTCCATGAACTCAACCTCATTAGATTCAAAAAGTCACGTACGCACCTTGCAGTATGGCAAGATGCATTATCTTATTGAAAGATGAATGCCTCCTGCGATGAAAAAGCTGCCTGGAAGAAGGGAGCATGTGATTTTTTAAGACTCTAATGTAATGGTCTTGATTCATCGCGCCCACACATCGGTAGAGATGACCAACCCCATTCCACGACATACAACCCCACACCATGAGAGATCTACCTCCGTGCTTTACTGTGGGATTTAAACACTGAAGATGAGATCTTTTACCTGCCCGGCGTCATACAATAGTGCGCTTCTTCCCACAAAAAAGCTAGAAAGTGCTCTCATTACTCCACAAGATTGAAAGTCCAGTCATGATGTGTTGCTGCAAAGGCTCTTTGCCGCTGGTAGTGTTAAACAGTTAAGAGTGGCTTATTGACTGCTCTCCTGGCATGCTGTCTAGCTTTTATTAGCCTGTCACAAAAAGATCTGGTTGCCAGATTCACCAGATGTTGAGCAGTCAACTTTGTGGGAATATCGATTGCAATGAGCCTACGATCTTGGAGGCTCATCCAGATGATCGCCCGATCCTGTCGAGAGGTAGTTTTTCGAAGACAACCACATCTCCTGTCTTCAACAGAATCTGTCTCTCTGTACTTTTTTATGATCCTCGTC